TTTGGGGGTTTGAGAATTGAAGTGGAGACGGGTTATATAGTTGTTTTCTCGGGACGGGCCATAGATTGAAGATAGCATTCAGAGTGCACATATACTTAAATGTAAATTTTATAGCTCATTTTTCAAGTCAAGCTTCTTTTCTAAAAGTTTATGCTTTCATATGTGGTGTTTGAATTCGATACTAATCTCATATTTTTCTAAGAAGGAATGATACAAAGAATGGTCCATCTTTAGAAATTGAATTCAGTATCTTATAATAGACTTGCACATATCTAGTGCTCATTACGAAAGAAGTCTTTTTATATATCCAAGAAATCCTAATTAATAACAAGAAAATAGATTTGACATGCACGTTATGAGGTGCATTAAAGAAGTAATTTGAATACAAAAGTTTGTTCTCTCATGATCGAAGGACTCGGGAAACAATTGAATCAGGATTTAACTTTTCAAACCTTTTCCACCTTCCATTGTCTTTTTTTACAACAGAATTTTGAATCCCAATCTAAGAAACTTGATTTCAAATGAAAAAATAGTGGATGGAGAGGTAAAGATATACATTCAAAGTTATTCTGAATAGTTATATTATCTTGCAAATAGAAACTGATAAAAATTTGAAGCTTAACAACTCCTTTTACATTACTAGTGTATCAGAGTCAAAACATTTGTATTTTGTACCACGTTTTCGGTTAGAATCAATTGAGAATGACAAAAGTCTCTCTTTGGACGGTTTTAGGTGGACCCCTATTGTTCAGCAGGCCTGTTAAGGGTATGCTAGCTGTATTTTATTATTTAAATTCTTATCAATAAAAATTAAATTTAAATATCTAAAATATTTTTTATTTGATTTATATTTAAACCAGATAGTTTGGCGAAACATAAAACAATTTATATTTCTAATAATTAAGATTAATTATGGTTTAGTAGATTGTACCTACTCATACATTAATTAATTGACCATAGAAACCAAAAGATTATTTATCAATTAAAATTCTATTCTTTATATATATATATATAAAGACAAATTTTGCATGTAATAAGAGATAATATGATTGGTTTAAGATAATTTTAAAAAATCCTAGTTTTTTCCATTTTTGTATAGACCAATGGTTACTTAGCATGTGAAAACAAACAGTTCTAAACTGGTTCAGCAAATGATAAGCTTAAGATTTGTTTGTCCTTTGTAAGACCAAAACCTCAAAATATTCTACATAAAAATAGGACAAATCTTGTATTAAGACAACCTTCTCGTATTTCAAGATTTTATGGCCTATGATGAGAAAATTTATTCTATACATTCTACGCCTCTGTATAGTTGAAAATAATTGCACTGTTTAAAGGCTGAATTTGTCCACAACCTCAGAAACGAAAGACAATGAGCCTTCGATAGTACCTGTTTTAGGCATGGGTGGATTCAAGGAAGGGCTGGGCCGTGCTACAGCCCGTCCCTTTGGCCCAAATGTCCTTAAAGAGAAATTTTAAGTAAAATATATTTTTTTTATGTGCAATATATATATATATACGTATTAGCCCGTGTTGAATTTTTTCCTGAATCCGCCACTGGTTTTAGGGCAGTGGACAAAATTCAGCAGTTGGATCCAAGCAATTGCTGTTGATACTTGAGATTCACATAATTCTCATAAACATGAATGTTGAATGGGTGAGCGAAAGGTGTCTTTCATTTGAATGTTGAATGGATGAGTGAGACGTGTCTCTAATGCTACACATTATTTGTATGCTTCACTCTATTTAGGGCATCATTGATACTTTAGATCGTATACGATCAGTGGTGGACACGGATATTTTGAGTTAGTAGGGCACAATCAAACTTGCAAAGAACACATTTATGTTTATCTCAAACGTCATCAAATTTATCGATCCTTTTTATTTCCAACATCATTTTCATCGCTTTTATCTCGAATAATCCTTTCATTAACATTGCAATCATCAAAAGAAAAAGTATATTTACGTTTAAATTATTTTTCCATCACAATCAATGAAAACAATCAATTCAAGTAAAATATACAAAAATCACAGCAAATTGTAAATGTTACATTATCAGCTAAATTCCAATTCAAACAAAGAAAAAAATCACAGCAAGAATCCATTACCATAAATCGCCAAAATAAGATAGAAATTGGAGCACTCAAACTAATCCCCAATTCCATTTCATAGAAAAATACAAAAGAAATCATCAACAAGAAATAATTTCCCATAGAATGATGCCAAAAATAATAATAATAATAATAATAATAAATAAATACAAAAATAAAAATTTAAGTTGGTGGATCACTTGACCCACCAGGATCCACTGTGGGTCCATCAGTGTATATGATTGAAGAAAAGATAAAATTCTTGTTCTATATTGCTCATCAACTGTGTAATATTCATATAGAGTACACATATCTTATTCTCAATGTTTACTAAAAAAAAAAAAAAATGAAAAAGAAGATTTTGCCAACCGGTTTTCCAACGACAAAAATTCATGATAGGTCGTATTTTTGGGCTTAAACGACTGATTGTTCGTAAGAAATGGTTAAGGAATTTCCAAATGCAAATTACTATGTACCGAGTAACTTGGTAAGAGAATCATCTAAAAATACCTTATAGTGTAGTTGAACAAAGCCATTTTGAATTCTTAACTTTTGTGTTGTTTTCCCCACACAATGCATCCATTTCACATATACGTGACGAGACAAAATTTTGTCATTAGTAGTGTGGACTTCAATTATATTGTATAGTTGTTCGTTTGACTACAAAAGTATGAAAATATGGTGGACACACATGGCAATCTAATAGACGAACTTTCAGTCTATATGGCAATAGTGTTAAATCAATTATGCTACACAAACAAGCTCAAGGACATGCTAAAAAATAGGGAAACACGTGTCGACACAGGATTGGACAATTTGGCCAAAAATAAAAAATCCAACTATGTGTTGCTAAGTCAATCTGTCTAACTTTTGCCTGTCTTTGAACTTGTTCAACCGTCATTATTCTTAAGAAATAAAGGTGAAGTTCAAAATTGATCTCCAATGGTTCTTTTTATTGTCCAATTCTCTTGACAAGGTGGATATTAATAATACTTTCTTTCTCCAGAGAGGGAAAAAACCTTTATCGCTTTCTTTTCTTTTAATTTATTTCTTTATAATTTTTTTCTTCTCAATTAGCCCTTGTTTGACACTCATTTTTGTCAAAAAAAAATGCATTTTTGAATAGTGTATTGATGAAAAATGTGTGGTAAAAAAAAAGAAATTTTTTGAATTTGCATGTTAAATTATTTTATTGAAAAATGTGTAATTTGAAATTATGTCAAATAATTGTTGAAAAACATATTTTGATGGAAATATAGGACTCGAACAATAGTTAATGAGCCACTTTTTAGATGGGACTTCTATGTAGGGATGTAAACGAGCCGGGCCAAGTCGGCTCGCGAGTCTAGATTTTCGGCTCGGGCTCGGCCCGGTTAATATGGCCGAGCTTTTTTGCGGGCTCGAAAAAAAAAACTCGGCTCGAGCTTTTGCTCAGGCTTTTTACAGGCCGAGCCGGGCAGGCTCATTTTGTCCATTTTTTTATTTTTTTTTTATATATATATAATCTGCTGCCTTAAAAGGCAGCAGTTTTGCTGCCTTTTAAGGCTTCATTTAAATTTTTTTTTTTTTTTAAATCTTGCGAGCTCACGAGCCGGCTCGGGCAAAGCCCGTGTCACCAAAATGGGGCTCGGCTCGAGCCTAGGCTCGGGTCTACCGAGCCGAGCCGACTCGGGCTTTTCCCGAGTCGAGCCACGGGCAACCCGAGCCGGCAAGCCCGATTGCCATCCCTACTTCTATGTGTAGATAGTCACAGCACCCTGACATTGTCCATCTTATCATGCATTGGAAAATAAATTTTATGGAAAATGTCCTTTATTTATTTAAGTTTATGAAAACATGATTTTTCTGCCGATGAGTGGTCCGATACAGGTAGATTTGGACCCCCTCCTTGTTGCACACTTGGGGTATATGTGATTGTAAGTCTGAAATTTACATGTAAAGAAAATAAATTTTAAATAATTCAATTATCTAAAACTTAGTTATATGAAAATTATCAATTAGATGTGTTTAATTGATTTAATTTTTAACTTAAAAGATATTATACTTGTTTGTTTTTTATTGGTGGATAGATGAAAGAGAGTGGATGGATGAGAGAGAAAAGAGAGTGAGTTCCCTAGACAATAAAATTCTACTCCCCCTAAAGAAAATGTTTTCTCTGATTTTAAGAAAAATATGGTCATGCGATCAAAAATAGGAACATATTTTTCATGAAAAAAATGACAATCAATCAACACAAAAAGTAGAAATTTGAATGGCAAAAACATATTTTGGTAAAAAAATATTGACAATCGAACGCATCCTTATATTCAAAACGTGTCTACGATTGAAGTATGACAAAGTTCAGTGTACAAAAACATGATTTGTGCCATTTTGATGATGATAATTTTGAAGTTGGTGGATGCAATGAAACATGAGGATCATGATAATCTCGATAAAAATATAAAAGTTTATTTTGCTTGATAATAATCCTCAAGGGCACATATTCCTTGAGCCCTTGTTTTGAAAGAAATTTTTTTTAATAATATATTTTGTGAAAAGTATATTTTTTGAAAAATGCGTGGTTAAAATGTATTGAAAAAAAGTTATAGATTCATGAATAAAATTATTTTATTGAAAGAATATATATATGGTTGAAAATAAATATAGAACAAAATGAATTTCAAAAAATTAAAGGCCAAACAGCGATTTCAACGTAAAACTAGACGAAATATAATCCCATGTGTCATTGACGTCAGGACGGCAAGACTTCACAAGTAGACATGGAGAGCGAACTTTGCATCGAGCCTTGAGTTAACTAGAACATAATTCCTTGCTCATAGTTCAATCAATCGGCATCTTGCTCACAGAGGATTGATTAAATAAATTCAGCAGTCTTAACGTTCTAAGATTTAGAAGTGAAACAGAGGCACGTGTGTGACAAAGTTGATTGGACAATTCACAATAAATTCATAACGCCACCAGGTCATACAACCCATCACGCCATGGCCAACGAAGTACAGAGTTGATAAAAGCTAATGAGTCAAATATAAACTGAATGCAAGCTGGGTCATGACAGTTAAAAAAATCTTTTACATTAAACAGTGTGTCCAACATCATAATACCGGAAATAAGACTAGGATACGTCTCAGAAGTGCTGGTACTGGGTATACTGTTGACTACAGGATAACGGATCTAGACACCAGGCAGACCAGATGAATGTATTCCGATCACATCTTTCACGAGCTGAGGGCGATCAACTGCACCATAAACGGCATTAATGACTTGAAAGATAACTTCGATGACAATATGAAACCAAAACATAAGATGGTAAAAATTGCTTACTTTTCATACTGCTCAGATAGGGGGGCTTCAGTATCACTATATCCTGGACTGTCCATGTGCACAGGCTTAGAATTTGGGCTTTTATCACCATCATAACCATCGGGGCTAGCCCTCTCCTTTTGCTCCCTACGAGGACTTGGACCTGCACCATGACCATAATCTGGACTTGCAATCTCCCCAGGGCTGAGCCCACGGTCATGGTCACCATTGGGCCCATCTCTTCGAGTAACTGGGCTTCGTCTAGGGCTGTAATCGGAGTACCTAGCCTTCCTGGGACTTGGACTATGCCTACGATCATATTTAGATTCCCTTTCCTTTGGACTGGGGCTGCGGCTGGCCTTACGACCATAATCAGGACTTGCCCGCTCTCTACGATATGGACTTGGACTGCGGCCATGACCATGCCCATGTCCATAGTCGGGACTTGCCCTCTCTCTCTTGTAGGGACTAGGAGACCGACGTTGGTCGTAGCCTCTCCTGGGTGATCTGTCACGAGTTGGGCCAGGGCTATGTCCACTTCGCCTCTCATCGTCATCCTTGATAGCATATTCAACACTGATAACTCGATCAAACATTTTACTGCATTTAACACCCAAACAATCACCGCAATGACGCTAACTAATTAAAGGATAAGACTTTCAATTAACTTCTTAAACAAAGATAGGCATAATGAAAATATTATATTTAAAAACATTTCCCAAATGAGCTCACCTCATGTTTGTTGCATCCAAAGCTTTGGTTGCTGCCTCCTGGGTTTCATACTGAATAAAGGCAAAATTCTTGCGGATCCTTACATTCAGTATTTTCCCATATGGATCAAAATGTTTCTCTAAATCTCTAGTCCTTGTATTGTATGGATCAAAATTTATTACAAATAATGTCTTCGAGGGTCTCGAGTTAGATTGAGGCTTTCTAGAATTCTCTGGCCTCCTGCTACTACGTTCTTGCTGGGGCACAAGAAGGGCAAAGAGTATTTAAGCAGTAATCCCAGAACTCAGTTATACGAAGAAATAAGCAACAAAAAAAAAAAAAAACCATGTATATCACCTTTGTCCACTCAACACGCAGTCTACGTCCCTTTCTGCCAAATTCAATTCGGTCAAGTGCTCTGATTGCATCCTCTGCATCTCTTTCATCCTCCATGTAAACAAAAGCAAAACCTGAAACCCATAAAACATCTCTCTCTTAATAAATAATTAGCTATTATGTTGATAAAAATCATCTATGCGAAGACTCCTTCAGCAAAATGATCGCTGCATTTGAAACAATTTTCAGTCTGCAACTAAGAAATATACCCTGTCACCTGATAACAAAAAGACCACCTTCACTATCTAGAAACTACTGACCAGTAGAATCAGTGACAGACCTTGGCCAGTGAACTAAGCGATGTCAAGAAACAACTATCAAAAGGTGGATGTCTCATGACATAACAATGAAAAGAGAGTGCCTTCTCCATTAATTCTGCTGCCTCAGCTTCGAGGTCTACAAGTGTAACGTGGAAAAATGAAAGCTGGGCAAAGGTCATGACAAATGAAGGCAATAATGACTTGGGAAAATGTGAGATGGTGATGCCATGGATGATTGAGGCTCTTCTAGGAAAAAGAAGAGGACACTTGTCACAGCCAGGAAATGAAATGCAGAAGAACCATCCATCAGCCATGAATTGCATGGACATTGCATTGTAAACCCTGCGCCAAAGAATTAATTGAGTATGGGGGTCACAACTTCAAAAAAAGATATATATACTTTTTTTTTAAACATATCCTGACACCCCACTAAACTCAACAAGGAAAGACTGCTGTCAGGAGCACGTTTGGGCAGTATTCTTTATTGAAAGCAGCTCGGTCTTTTGCTGGACTCTCCACAAGATTGACAGCTCTGGTTTCTGAATATTCTTCAGTTTTCTTTTCAAGAAATAAAATGTGTATTCAACAGTTGAACACCTTCCCGATCTGCTTTATGTTGTGTTATGAAGACCAGCGACTCGAGCACGACAGTTAGCAATACTCCAGCCACAAAACAATTACCATGCATGGATATAGACTTACAGTATATCAATGGTAGTGAAGGTTGTCAATTCTAAATGAACACATTACTAGTACAAATTGCAAATTCTAAATTAATGCTTCAGTTGCGTGGAGGTGATAGTAATGTTGAGTCCTTCAAGAAGCACGGAAAACTATGAATTTCCTAGCTGTCTCATCTCACAATGGATATTTGACTAATTGTCTTCTGCAGCTTGACACCTTCGGCAAGTTAAAATAAAGAACTCTACATATGTTTTCATTTGTGTTACTTGTTAAATGGAAAGAATTGTTAAGAACTTAGTTGTTTGGTATCTACAGCAGTCAAAAATTATGTTCGAAAGAGTTAGCTACGTGACAGCTGTGAATGTCCTGCTCCTAACAGAACATAGTCCAGGCAAAAAAGACTTACCAGCCTTCATATCAACACGATCGACTTTTCCATATCTCCTGAAAAGTCTCTCAAGATCAGACTGCCGAGCATCATACTCAAAGTTTCCACAGAAAATAGGCCTCATTTCAACTTAACCCAGATTGTCACAAACCTGCAACAATGAGAAATTTAACATACATTCTTCATTTTTTTTTAAGCAACCACACCAAGTTTCAAAGTAAATGCATTTTTGACATCTTTTGGTCAATTGGCGTTTCTCCAGAGCAATATAGGGACATTTTTTATAATTGAAAATACACCAAAATAGTATAATTGTGAAGATTTCAATTAAGAACTCAATATATTAATATGAAAGATACTTCAAAAACTGCACATTTGACAAGAAACTGAAAAAGTAGTCATGTACCACTGAGTGGTGTTCTGTAGTTCTTAAATGGCGTTTGGCTAAAACTTAAAAGCAAAAGCCCAATTCAAATTTGCATATTACCCTCTCCCATAACTTTTTTCAATATTTGACCATCTAAAAGAAAATGCAGTTCCACTTTCATTTTCTAGGTAGGCAAGAAAAAGCAACCAAATAAGAGGATTCATTAATCCACAATTTTGAACTGTATAATACCCCTAACAAATTGTTCAGATTTCAGGTTCCTGCAGTTTAAACAATCTAGGGAATAGCGAATAGGGTCAGAAAGACCATCAAGAAATTAAAGGGAAAAAGATCGATCCCAATGTTACGACTCAAACCAAGAACTAACTAAAAACTTATATCCCTATTAAAATCCAGAATCATCAAGAATTAAACTTCAGCTAAGGCTAACATAACTGTAAACATCAAAAATAATTCAAAAGAAATACATAAAGATAATCAGATTTATCTTTAAAACTTCAAATAGAGAATTAAAAACCAAGCTTCAGACATTGATATGAATGAAATGGAAATTACAGATTTAAACAACAGCCAGATGAAATCTTGATGTTACCTATGGAAATTTCGAAACCCTGGACAGTGAAATCACGATGAGTGAGAAAATATCTTCCAAAATGGATTAAAATATGTAAGAGCTCGTCAGCCGATATTGGGAAATTCGCACCTACAGTCGCCAAACTTTACATTTTCTTGTATTTGGGTCCCCATTCTTTATTTTTTGGTATATGGGTCCCCATATTATCCTAATTGCTGCACATTTGGACGAATGGATGGAAATTATCCAAGATTGCACTAGCATTACTTATATAAACCCTCAAGGTTGGGGTTCTACCTTTATATAAATAATGCTACATGTACATAAACATATACATAGAGATGTCCATAATATCACGTGTCACTCTATCACTTGCTTGATTAAAACACAATCAACTTTTTCAATCAATATTTTCCCTTCATATAACATTATGTAATTCTTTATATACATTTATTATGTAAAATTCGCAAAATTTAGCCCTTGTTTGAGTCACATTATATTTTAAAAAATGTATTTTTGAATAGTATATTGTTGGAAAATGTATGGTTAAAAAATAAAGAAAAGTTTTGAATTTGCGTGTAATATTATTTTATTGAAGAATCTATGATTGAAATGATGTCAAATCACTATTTAAAAATACATTTTTTTTTAAAAAAAAATATGTCTCAAACATAGCTTTAAATTATATGGGAGAGAGAGAGAGACATCTTTGTTTTAACCAAAAAATTAAAAAAATAAAAATAAATGATCCCTTTCTTGATAGTAGGTTTGGGGCCATTATTCTTCTGATTATTATTGTTCTTGTAACCACGAGGAAGATATTTTCAAATATGCCTTACTAGTTTCACACTACCACCAGATGCTTCATGAATCATATTTTCCTCTTGGACATATATAGAGATGAGTTCATTAGTATGCATTTGTTCGTCTGAGAATTATATGATGCCTTTGATTGGTTAAAGGCAAGGAATTAAAAGTATGATGAACAAGAAAAGACTCAAAGATTGTAACGCCTCAATTACTTTAAAAAAAAGAAAAGTCAAAATCTAAAATTGAAGACAAATATATGAAGCTTTAAAAAATTAAAAAAAACATAAAAAAAAAATTTTGAAACCAAACCAGAAGTGGACAAAATCAGGCGGTGGTTGATTATATTAATCCAAATCCACTTCATTTTCATATCAATCCATTTACACACAACATATATACAAATAGAGAAGAAACGAGAAAGAGAAAAAGAGAGGGAAAAGAAAGGGGGGGGGGGGGGGGGGGGGGGGGTTTTAATGGGGGGGGGGGGGGGGGGGAAGGGGAAGGAAAGGAAGGAAAAAAAATGTGGAAAGTTCATCTATGTTGTTGGAAAATAAGTGGTCTACACTATTAGGCTTGAATTCCTTAATTTTGAAAGATAAGTAAAAAATTACTTATTGTCAAGTTATGTTTGATTTTATAGTTGTTAGATTGTTAAATTCAATTCAATTTTATTGAAAGGGTTAAATATAATAAGTTATGAAATTGAGTTAAATGAAAGAAAAATTAGTTTTAGAGATTAAAGAGATTTTAGAAATCGCATAAACGCGAAATGATTAAGTTCGGGTATCGCCCATTTAATTAGTTAAATTACTTAAAATAGTTAATTGTTGATTTAAAAATTATATTATATTTCAGATGGTAATACTGACATTGGGACAGCTTACCAATCGAATTGATTTTGCGAACATAATTCTGTGAGTGGAAAAATTTAAATATTTTTAAAGTGTTTATAAATTAAGTATATGTGCAATTATGAGTTTGATTTTATGATTATTATAGAAGTTTCTTTTATTATGATCCATGTGGAATTTCAAGGATTATTTATTGTACATTTGTGACTTGGTATATGAGACATGTGCTATTGAGATTTATTTGGTATGTGAAACGTGATATTGAGATCGATCAAAAAAGTACCCGTAATTATGTACTTCTTCTAGTTCACAGAGGAGTCTTGGCCGTATTCTATACTACACTGAGGGGTCGACTGGGGATGAAGGGGTTGTGACAGTGTATATATAGTTCACTGAGGGGCCTTGACCATGTTCTAGAATTGATTATCAGAGGTCTTGAGACCCGTTTTCGTTCACAAAGGGATCAAAGGACCGTGGCAAAAGTTTTTAGTCCAAGGGACGGATTACAGATTTTAATCAGAGGGTACATTTTTTATGGATTTTCCAATACATTTGATGTAATGAGATTATAGCATAATTACCAGCTTATGCTTATATTATGATTTTGAGATGATATTTTACGACTATATGTGAATATTTCACTTTTTGTTATAATTACACGATGTTATTTTGTGAATTATTAAATTATATGAACTCGATTTTCGATAAAAATATAAAATTGAAAAAGTATAATTATTTTCGAACTTCTTCACTTACTGAACTATCAACTCATATATTTTTTTCACGAATTTTCCTACAGGTAGCAATTGATTCCTTTTAGTTGGAAGAGCCTAATGATTTCGAAATGAGAGTCATGTGACATGTTGAATTTATAACTCATATTGATAAAACACGAAATAAATATTTTGGGCCCGTCGCATTATATTTTACATAAGCATTTGATTTTGTTGTATTTTTTGAATTAACTCATAGTCAGCTTTGGTGATAGATTTGACATATAGTCAGCATCTATCATCGACGCACGTCACGTTTCGAATCCATTAGGGTGATTCGGGACGGGTCATGTCAAAGATTGAAATCTCAACTTTAGTCAGTTTACAAGTCATGACGACAATTTTCATGATATACTCTATAAGGCCATCTCTAACATATCCCCAAAACACCAAAATGCATCATTTTTTGGTGCAAAACAACTTCAATGTAACATTATACATCGCACCATTTTTGCACCAAAATGGTAAAAAGTGAATGTTATGACGCAACACTGTTCACTTTACACCATTTTGGTGCAAAGATTGTGCAAAATCATTTTTATCATTTCTTTTCATTTCCCAAACAAATTCATTAAGAATATTCGTGTAATCTGTACTAAATATTTTTTAATACAATAAATTATTGTTTGCATTTAATTTAAAATAAATTTTAAATGTAAAAAATAATAATTGATGAATAAATTAAAAGAAGAAAAAAATTTAAAATATAACAAACACAATTATTTCTTAAAGTTAACACGAAATATATTAAAATAATTAAATAAATAATGAATTTTAATATTTATTAATGAATTTAATTTTTTAATTTTACGTAATTATTTATTTAGTAATTTATGTATTTATAAAATAATTAAATAAATAATATTTCAAATAAATAAATTATTAGGAATAAAATGGTTAAACAATGTTCATTTGGTGTAAGTTATGGTATAATGGTTGAAAATGAATTTTAGTTTAGTGCAAGATTTGGTGCGAAAATAGTGCAGATTTGGTGCAAAAATGGTGCAAATTTCGTGTAGCACTGAAAATGGCCTAACACCATCGTATGTCATTCATGTTGACCTATTCATAAGCTCTCCAACATCTTCTTTTATAGATGACTTGTACTTCTCAACTATATTGTCAAAAATTTCTATCTTATATACAACACCGATAAGATTACAAGAAATTGATCTCTTCATTATCGTCAAACATAAATCATTTTGCCACTTTCCACTTCTCATAATTGAAGTCTTAATGGACTACTGTCCCTATTGGCTTGTCTCCATTCGTTTATTGGACTGTGTCATCTTATTAGCCTCCCCATATTTGCCTTCCTTTCATTCCGACGTATCTTGTCATTCTAAATTAGTAATTAGATCAACTTCCTCCATCAAATGGAAAGAGCTTCTTACACTAAAAGTTGTTTGATCCCTTAGTCTAATCGACTTCTACGACTAATGGCACACAAACTCGATCGTAGTTTGATTACCAAGACTAAAGGTGCAAGGACTTTACAGTTAAATATTTGCAATTATAAATAAGAGCAAATGATAAATAAGAATAGCTTTATTCTCACAACTCAAGACGTACATTATAAGATCACATTTGGACATAAAGCATACAACTCAAATTCTAAAACAAGCAAATTAGTGGGAAAAATGTAACTTAGAAACTAACTCCCAAAGTCACATTTCACAAATTTGTTTTCACAATTGCTTCACGCTTTCTAAATTAATTTCCTCCTTCATATTAAATGTTCGTGTCTCTCAACTTATTATGTTGTCACGTCTAATTCCACACAACAACTATTTCTTGAAAATATATTGCAATTATACCAAGATAAATTATTTGATCGATTAACATGACATGGTAGAATACAGAATATTTTCTATTGGAATTAACTCTCACTATATATGACATTGTCAATGTGGGCATACCATGACACGAGAAAGAGCACGATTAGAGTAAAAATATCATAAGAAATGGCTACAATAATTATTTAATCAACATGATCTTCTACAGAATAGTAAGATCATTATCCACTTAATACAACTTTAATTATAATGTTTAGTAAGTCTACCTCAATGTTAAATAAAAGCAGTTATTCAGTACTACAATCACAAAGAAATTTGTGCAGCTCAATTCAGTTTAAATATTTCTTCATGATCTTCTCCAAAAGGGCCAAAGGCAAGCAAAGATTCCAGATATTCCACGTCATCGAGCTGTAAAAACAATTAAAATCAAAATATTTGAGAACTTAAGTTCTAAAACATGATTTTCAAGATAATTAATTATAAAGAAATGATGAAGCAATTAATAAAAGAAAGACATACCTCATCAGAAAAGAGAAAGGCGTTACTGGGCTCAGTAGACGTGCCACATTGTTGAGAAATCAAATTGCTTCCCCCATTTTGTTGCTACACCCAACAAAACATTATTGAAAATAAATTCGTTAAAAAGGTTGAGCAAAAATCTTTCAGTTGTTATAAGAAGTAAAACTTTAGTCAAGTGTGAGTCGTGTTGATCAATGAATGGTTTTTGTGCACCAAACGTGTGCATCACAAAATTAAATAGTTTAGAGTCGAACCATTTTACCTAAAAGCTTGAAGCATTGAAAGGAATTTAAACATATATAGATTTCTATGTATAAGCATTGAAAGGAATTATACATAGATTTCTGTATATAATTACATTTATATTCAGAAAGCGTCCCCTACAATGTAGTGGAGGGAGTGAGAGTTGTCATATTCAAGTGATAGTGAGAATTTAAACATATGATCTAGTAGATTGATAATCAATTTATTTACTTTTCCATAAGTTCTCAACTATAATTTGAACTTGCATTAAACATACAAAAATTACTATTTGCTGAACGTCAGAAGATGTAGAAAATTAAACATCAGATAGAAACTTGCCTGGCTGGGAGTTCCCTCGAATCTTGGGAATGGGGAAGAGCCTTGCCACTGATTCACACCCCCAGAGATGTCGAAGTTCATGACATTTTCACCTCCATTTTGCTGCACATCAAAAAATGATTTGAGACGTATCATATGTATTTTCAAATTAAATGTCAAATGCATAAACTATCTCATCCAAAACTTTTAAATTATTCGAGAGGGAATTNGACGTATCATATGTATTTTCAAATTAAATGTCAAATGCATAAACTATCTCATCCAAAACTTTTAAATTATTCGAGAGGGAATTCATTTATATTTTATGTTCAATGCGTCCATCAATATGATTTTCAAGATAATTATTTATGAAGAAATGGTAGATGAAGCAATTAATTAAAGAAAGACACATCTCGTCCGGATATAGAAAGGTGTTACTGGGTTCAGTATATGTGCCACTTTGTTGAGAAATAATCAAATTACTTCCAAAACCTTGGTTCTACACCCATAAAAGAAATTATGGGAAAGAACTACATTAAAAATGGTCGAGTAATGAAAGATATTTCAATCCTAATAAAGAGTGAAGGTTTTAGATCAATAAATGGTTTTTTTGCACCGCACTTGCACGGCACTTGCACGGCTAATTAATTAGTTCTAAGTTGAACCATAAAAGCTGTTAAGAGGAATAAATCTAACTAGTTACAAACACTGCAGTAGTGTCAAGCGTGAGAATTGTTATAATTTATAAACAAGTGATTGTGAGAATACAAAAAACATATGATCTAGCAGATATGTGATAAAGTTAAGTAGTTCTATTTACTTCTGTAAAAATTCTCAATTTTTAAACTTCCATAAAACATAAAATAAAAATAATAATAATAATAATTGAAGAACCTAGAAAATTAAACACTAGATAGAAACTTGCCTGGCTGGGAGTCTGATTGAACCTTGGGACCGGGGAAGAGGTTTTCCACTGATACATGCCACCACAGAAGTTGGAGTTCGTCACATTTCCACCACCATTTTGCTGCACATCAATTTAGGCAACAGAAAACGATTCGGGGGTTATCAAATGTATCGCCAAAATGTCATATGCATGGTCTCCTCTAAAAGTTTAAACTATTTGAGTGGGAAATGATTTATATTTTATGTTCGAAGCTCCCCTCTCCTATTCACTTTTTCATCTAAAAGACAACGATGGATAGCAATGTATGTAAAGTAGCATATAATAAATGAAGATTAATTGGTTGGGTACCTTTGGCTGAGGAGATTGAATGATCACTTGATTTGAGGAAGTACCTTCGTCCACTGATTGTTGAGTGGACAAGATATCAATGCCTTCCAGATCATACATTTGAAAGAATGCAGAATCATTTTCCCCATTCTCAACACCATCCAGAATGGGTGGATCTGAAGGAAGAAAGGGAGAAGAAGTGTCTTGAATTTCATCCAATACAGTTGACCAACTGAAATCGTCTTCCAACAGACCAGAATTGCCACTGTTGTTGCAGTGGAATTTGCCTGTAAAGTTGGTAGATTTATCCAACAAATTTGAACCCTGACCACGTTCCTTGTGAGCTGCAGATTCAACAATCGGTCCAATATCAGATATTCTGTAACCCACATAATTGCTCGTGCAGTTGAAATTTGTTGATGCAGAAGAAATATTTGAAGTCCCAGTGTTTTGGTAGGCTGAAATTTCATTATTACTCAGAGCCCCCTCGCCAAGTGTAGAATCACCAAAACTAGACAGGCCATTGGTGAGATCTTGTAGTGCTGCAGTTTGGTGACTCCCTTTCAAAGAAGGGTTCGCCTGATAATTACTTTGGCTAATTCCGTTTGACGTCAGAAGACTTTGTACATTGAAATGTGTTGGCGATGGGGTAGTGAGGTAACTAGACGACGTTTCTTGACTAGGAAAGGATGCATTAATACTTGGAACAAGTTCTCCAAAACTTCGCTGGAACAATTGCCTAGGATTTTTGTTTCGGCTGAATTTGCTGATCGTTGGTACTGAAGGGTTTCGTGATGATAATTGTGATCCAAGAAGAGTCTTGCTAACCAAATTCTGCTCAGCAGACCGCTGAATTCTGTAGCTTGCATCAGAAACTCGTTTTAAGAAGATTCGATACTTCTGCATTTCAGAAATAGAATAATTAATTATAAAGAAAGAAATTACAGGCAAGCAACAACTCGAAAATAAAGACTAAAATAAGGCATACGATCCAAAAATGACGAATTTTTCTTTTCTGAAAAATTTTATATTCATTATATTGGACAGAGATTTTCGATAAATCTGGTACATTTGTTAACTTCTTTCCTTTTATGCATAGGCTTATTAGAAAAGGCATATAAATGAAATAAACAGGTAATTATGTGAGAATGATAGAGTATAATGTAACATGAAATGTGGACCTGGAGATGACTTGCTACATTTTCCCTAGTTAATCCCGGAACATCCATGACCTCAAGAATTCTTTTCGGAACAGCTCCTGCATAAATTAACAATATATAAATAAAAAAAGAGTCCACAATAATACGTGTGTATTTAAGGGCGATTAGTTATAAACAAAGAAAAACCCCATTCTTGAGATCAAATTTACAACAAACAATTCCCGCACTATATTTAAACATGTGAATACACAAGCGCGTGGTTATAAACATCTAAAACCCAGATTCTTGAGATCAAATTTAAAACGAACCATTCACGCGCGCGCGCACGTGTGTGGTTTTAAACAACTAATACCCGCTTTTTTAGATCAAATTTAAAATGAAAGATTCCCGCGCTCTACATTTGCTTATTAGTACATTGATTAAGAAAAAATCAAGGTAAATTGAAGCTTACTCTCAAGGCCTATGCTTCGAAGGGCTTCCAAGAAACGGTCGTGGAGTTGAAGTGTCCAATTAACCTTGACCTTCTTCGATTTACCCTTTCCCTCTCCCTTTCCGTTGCCCTCTTTTATTGGGGAATTTTTTCTGGTATCTTCCTGCTCAGTATGCCCATCTTCGTTGACAGATGATCCAGAAACTGCAATGACATCTGAACTTTTGTAGGTTTCCTCAATTACGGCTTGATTTTGCTTTTTCTTATCTGCAAATTGCCACAAATCTCTTAAATTATCCGGAGATATTGGCTTCATTAGGAAAAATGCAGCCCCATTCTCCATTCCTTTCAATTCAGCATCTTCGTTGTCATCAGCAGACATTACTGCATAATTAGACAAAAAACAACTTAAATAATTCTTCAAAGGGATTCATGAAAAACACAAAAGAAATAATATTTAAAAGGAGATTAGTTCTACCAAAATTATGTTTTGAAGGTGGCCTCATTCTTAGAAAAGCACAACTCACAAGAATAGAGTGATTTTATAAAATGAAGTTCTAACAGGTTTAGTGTTTTTGTTGGAAGCAAAACTCACAGCCTACAGGCAACTTGAATTCTTGTGCAATGGTTTGTTGTAGTTCAAACCCATTCATATCTGGCATATGAACATCTGTCACAACAAGATGGAATGCGCCTCCTTTGATTCGGAGAGTGCGTAAGGCGTCAACTGGGTGCTTGACTGTGACAACTGGAATTGATGCAGAAAAACCGAACCATTAATTAGTGCTAGTTAGAATTAATTAATTCCATTGAGAGGAGGATATTAAATCATAAGAATGTGTAATAAAGAAATCGTATGTACATAATCTAGGTTGATTCTATGAGTAAAATATTTTCATCTCAAGTAACTGTGATTAAACACGGGGTTTATCGAGTCGGCATGTTTTTTATTAAAATAGAAACGGGTGAAAAAGAATAGATCAGTTTTTCTCTTCTTTTCTTTTCCATTTTTTTTCTTACTAAATAAAAAATAGCCAGGTTTTAATTAGATCTAAGTATCCAGTGCAAATACACACATCCAACCATTGGAGAACATTTGGTACAATGAACAAGATTTAACGATCTCTTTCTTCTTTCGAAATGTGTTCCTGTCGAATATAATACAAAACATATCATAGGAACAAGCCTTAAAAGGACTGGACTCCATTTGGATGATCTGCTCTTGTCAATGGAGACTTTTATTGAATCTTTTTGTTATGGTAATAAAGAGAGAGAAAGAAACTATAAAAAGATGGATAATTGTCTCTCGAGAACAAACAAGAAAACGTGCATGCAAAATCTTGATCAACAAATGTTAGTGGAAACCTCAAATTGAGGAAAGGATATCCAAGTACAATATTGTGTATACCTTCATAGTTCCACCTCCGGAGTATAGCAGAAATTATAGAAAGACATGTTGTATCATCATCTACAACCAAAATGCTGATGACTTCCTCTGATTTGTTCATCTTTCTTAAAATGATTGTCTCGCTCTCAGTACTTAAATTCTGTCAACAACAGTAAACAAAATGCGTAGTAATTTGTGTAAGAAAGAGATGATTTATAAGGATTTTCTTCTGCTGTTGCTTTCCCACCCTATCAACCAGAACAGAAAACAATTTTCACATTGAATTTAGATTTACAGCGGGTTTCGTTTTACAAATAATTAAAGGCGAAAATCTGAGTCTGAGATTAACATTTAAAGCAAAATTCCTTAATAAAAAAAAATTAAATTAAGGCATTTTTGAGAAAATTCTATGAAATATCTTGAATTTTAATTTTATTCCTATTTTGAGGATTTATTTCCACATTTGAAAGTCGATACAAGTCATATTAGTATGCAACTAATTTGAAATATCATGGCTTTAACATGGAACTTTGTACTATCAACTAGAATGGAACTTTATTCAACAATGTACAAACAACAATATTCTTATATATATTTTGAGTTAATAACTTAATATATTGCTGGCTAAGACACTGTAAATTATTTACTACTTAATATTTACCAAATACAGAAAAACAAAAGTAGTTGTGAGTTAATAATATGTTAAGATACTATTTTAATTATTCACACAACCAATTTGACTATCAGTCAAATAAATGAAGTATGTATCAATGTCGGAAATAACTAAAATAACGACAAACAATGTCAGAAATAACTAAAATAACGACAAACCGCTAAAATTTTAATGCACACACAATATATCATTAATTAGTCAAAGTGTTGCTTTATACTTTCCGTTGTACGGAGAAATATTTAAAATTTTAAATAGCTTTATAAGTGCTTCATTGTATTAAGTATCGTGTTTATCGTTATTTTACATATGAAAGAGATTATATATACAACTTTATTTTCTTCATTTAATTTTGATGCCCAATTCTTGTATCTACGCGTCTTAATAAGTGTATGACTTTTGTTTTCTAGTATGGCATGAAATTAAAAAAAAAAAATGTATTGCACAATAGCAAATATGAATTTATAATTCTCAATGAAATTATTGTATCACATATTTTCTTCAACT